AATTGTTTCTGGTTTTGAAGAAATGTTTGGAGTTGTTTTTCTGCAGATTGATCAGAGCGGAGCAGTTTGCTCCTGTGTGTGTGTGTGTGTGTGTGTGTGTGTGTGTGTGTGTGTGTGTGTGTGTGTGTGTGTGTGTGTGTCGTCCTCATATATAAACCTCTGGGTCTGAGGAATCACTGAGCTCTTTGTTCTGCGTCCGGCTTTAAACCGCTCTGTTTGGATGCAGAGTTTTGTCTGAAGACTTTATGGAGAAGGGSAACGAGGCTTTGGCCTCTTTTGTTTGTCGGCTCCGATTCTTGGAAAGAAAATTCACTAAATGTTTGTTTATTGCGAGGCTTGTTAGGACGACTCCGTGTGGATTTAAAGAGAAAAAATGTCTGAGCGGGACGTCCAGGAAGCTCTGAACTTCTGTCTGTGACGAGAGTTAAAGGCACAAAGAGAGCCAGGAAACCTTCTTTAATATCTGAGGAAAATGTAAAGAGTTGGGTTTGGTTTGATGAATGCAGGGTTCTCAAAGCACGGGTCGGGACCCCAGCACGGGTCTCAGAACACCAGGCAGGGTCCTTTCATTAATCATCAGATATCAACATTTTGTACATTTTAAAGAGCTGTTTTTAATAGGGCTGCCACGATTAGTCGACTAGTCACGATTATTGTCGACTATTAAAATCAACTAATTTAATAGTTGATGCTTCATTTTTTTTCCTAACTTTGTTTTTCTCTCCAAACTGCTGCGGCACCTTCCACTGCCACGTCTGCCTTTCTGTCCTTGACTAACACATTCCCACTCCCATCTCGTCACATAATAGCTGTGTTTCCATTTGTCTCTTCTTCTGGAAGAGACAAAKAAAAAACATGTTGTTGATAGAAATAATTACAATGAACATGTAGAGAGGAGAGACTAAAGACAACAGCAGMGTGAGGAAATGTGCTCAGTTTGTGCTCCAGCAGTCTAAGTCTATAGCAGCACGTTGTTAAAAAGATAAATTTGAGTCTGTTCCTTTAGTTTTATTGCACGTGTAGGTTCTCTGCATCGTTTTGCTGTTTAAAGGAGTGAAATAAACCTGAACAGGTTAAAGAAGCTGGAGCTTTAAGCTCTGAGGAGTGACAGGCAGGAAGACGATCTGTCATCTGACTCATGCTTTAGTCGCTCGCAGTAATTAGTTTAAATTAAGCCCTCAGCAGGAGTGATTATTGTGTGCTTCTGGATGGCAGACGAGTGGAAAAGAGTGCGAAACAAACGAGCTATTTGCACACCTCCTGCGTGCCAGAGTAAACAGAGCGGCACCCACGTCATGTCCTCGTGTGGATTCAGCCCCAATCAGCTCCAGGTGTGCAGCAATGCATGCTGGGAGATAAAGATGCTCACTAACCTGCGCCGCGACCCGGAGAGACGCTTTGATTGTGATGTCAGTTTATTTTCTCTTTATTTCAGTTTTTTCTGTTGTAGTATTCTAGTAGTTCCATCGCAGTTGCCACCCGAGTTATTTATTTATTTATTGGTTAAAGATGGCTGCCAAGAGCAGAGGTCTGCTTTACTTCACAGCAGGGAAGGCGGCGAGGCTCAAACATGGAGATTAATTTAAAATGTGTATCCTAAAGCGCAGGTTTGAAACCCTCCAGGAACCAGAGCCTTTATTTAACAGCGAGGCCATTACTCGGGGCCATTTATTACCGTGTTTGGTTAACTTTAGAGAATTAAACGGGCGTCTGTCTCGCGTAGCGTTGCTCTTTCGCTGTCCTAATGTTCCTGTGGTTAAACAGTAGGAAGGGATTAGAAGAAAGCAAAACAAGTTGGCGTTAAATGAGCCTGGCAGCGCTGACAGCGTTTAATGAGAACCACGTTTGGGCTTTCTTCATGCAGCTTCATCACTAAACACACTTTCCTGTGAGATCTGATGTCTTCAGGTAGATAAAAGGCCTGCATGACTCCTCCTGAGACCAGGATATTAAAGTGCCTGTGACGTCAAATGTTTGTAAAACGTTTGAATGCATTTTTGAAAAGGTGTCATTGACAAAATATTGCAAAAGAAATTTCACGTTGCTGAGATGAACAGTTGTTGAGATTTTTGCCTGTAAAGTAACAGGAAGTGATGTCAGAGGGGAATGTCTTAATGTGAACAGAGCGTTGCTACAACAATCTAGACTGTAGAGAAGAATCTGATGTTTCTTAAGATTATTTTGAGTCACTAGCTGCATTCCATTAACCATGAAAATGTGCAAATTAGAATTTTGAAAATAAATTTGCTCAATGGAGACACGTCAATTTCGGAAAAAAAAATTACGTTTTTCGAC